CTTCGCAGCATATTTTAAAATCAGGTTCTGTGATACCTCCAGCTTTGTTCTATTTGTTTAAGATTGCTTTAGCTCTTCAGGGTTGTTTGTGGTATAATATAAATTTTAGGATGAATATGAATTTTCTATTTCTGTGAAAAATGTCATTTAAATTTTTCTTTTCTTTTTTATTTCAAAATGTTATGGGGTTGCAAATGTTTTTGTTACATGGATACACAGTACAATGCTGAAATGAGGGCTTTCAGTGTGTCCGTTACCTAGACAGTGTTCATTGTACCTGATAGGTAAGATTTTACCCCTTACTTCCCTCTCATCATCCTCCCCTTCTTATCTTCCAATGTCCTTTACATCTCTTTGTGCCCGTGAGTACCCATCCTTCACCAATCATTTCAATTTTGATAGGGATTGCATTGAATCTATAGATCTCTTTGGATAGTAGGAAAATTTTAACATATTAATTCTTCTAACCCATGACCACAAGATACTTTTCCATTTATTTGTGTCTTCTTCAATTTATTTCATCAATGTTTATAATGTTCAGAATATGGATACTTCACATCCTTGATTAGATTTATCCCTAGTATTTTTTGTAGCTATGGTAAATAGAATTGTTTTCTTGATCTCTTTTTTGAATAGTGCATTATTAGTATATAGAAAAGCCACTGATTTTTGTATGTTGACTTTGTATGCTGTAAATTTAATGAACTCATTTATTAGATATAACAGTTTTGTAGAGTAGTCTTTAGGGTTATGTATAAGACACACGCACATATATATCCATATATAAGGATATTTATGTCCTTTAAGGGATATATAAGATCATGTCATCTGTAAAGAGAGATAATTTAACTTCTTTTCTGATTTGGATGTCTTTCCTTTATTTTTCTCGCCTAATTTCTCTGGATCAGACTTCCAGTACTAGGTGGCTAGAGTGGGCATCTTGTGTTGTTCCTTTTCTTAAAGAAAAGACTTTCAACTGTTCAGCATTGATTATGATGTTAACTGTAGACTTGTCACATATGGCCTTTCTTATGTTAAGTACATTTCTTCTATACCTAATTTGTTGAGTGATATTTTTTGAAGTTTTAAAATTTTATTTTTATTTGACAAATAACAATTATACATATGTATGAGTCATAATGTGATATTATGATTTATGTTTAAAATATGAATTGATTAAATCAGGCTGATTAACAAATCTATCACCTCACATACTTATCGTTTAAAATTTACTCAGCAATTTTGAGGTATAAAATGCATTATTATTTATTATAGTCAGGGAGATGTTGAGAGGGTTTTTCAACCATAAAAGGATGTTAAATTTTGTCAAATGCCTTTTCTGCATCTATTGAGAAGATTGTATGGTTTTTGTCTTTCAGTCTGTTAATGTGGTATATCACATTTATTTGTTTGTGTATGTTGGACCATCCTTGCGTTACTGGGATAAAATTCCACTTTATCATGGTGAATGATCCTTTTAATGTGCTTTTCAATTGAATTTGTGGATATTTTGTTGAGAATTTTTGCATCTATATTTATCAGGGATAATGACATATAATTTTATTTTCTTTCATTGTCCTTGTCTGGCTTTAGTATCTGGCTTTATGCAATGAGTTTGGGAGTATTCCCTCCTCTTTAATTTTTGGAAGGGTTTGAGAAGGATTGGTGCTAGTTCTTCTGTAAACGTGTGGTAGAATCCAGCAGTGCAGCCTTCAGATTCTGGGCTTTTCTCTGATCAGAAACTTTTTATTACTAATTCAATCTTCTACTTGTAATTGGTCTGTTCATATTTTCTATTTCTTCATGATTCGGTATTGATAGGTTGTAGTGTCCAGGAATTTTTCCATTTTATCTAGGTTATCCAATTTGGTGGGGAATAATTGTTCATAAGAGACTCATGATTATTTGTACCTATGTGGTATCAGATGTAATGGTTCCTGTTTTATTTCTGATTTTATTTATTTGAGTCTTCCTTTCATTATTCTTATTTAGCCTAGCTAAATGCTTGTCAATTTTGTTTATATTTTCAAAAAATAAGCTTTTAGTTTTGTTGAACTTTTCTATTGTTTTCTACTCTTTCTTTCATTTATTGCTGCTTTGATCTTTTTTATATCCTTCCTTCTACTAACTTCAGACTTAGTTTGTTATTCTTACTCTGGTTCCTAAAGGTATTACATTAGGTTGTTTATTTGAGGTCTTTTTTTCTTTTTCTTTTTTGATGTAGGTATGTATTGCTCCATATATATATATATATATATATATGTATGTGTGTGTGTGTGTGTGTATGTATATATATATACATAAAGCAATATATATATTGAGAGGGAGAGAAAAAGAGAGTGTGTGTATATATATACATTTTTCCATTTCTTTAGGGTCAACTCCAGGGAAATTATTGTGTTCTTTTGATGGTTATTTATCTCATTGTTTTTGTTTTTTTAAGCACTGATATCTGCACATTAGTTTTTCAGAATTTTCAGGTTTACTTTGGTGCAGCCTGTGAGAATAGAGCACAAGAGCACTGGATGGGTGAAGTTCAATGGTTCTGACATGAGTGAGGATGTGGCTGTGTAGTCTCAGGGCAGCTCCATTAGCTGAGATCAGTGTTGACAAAGATTCCAAGGATTCTTGGCAGGCAATACCGTAGATGTTCACAGTGGAAGTGAGGGTTGATGGTATCTTCATTGGAAATGGCTGGTAAGGTCCTCCTAATCTTTTTCTCCCACTGCAGAAGCTGTGGCTGGTGGGATCCCCCTTGGCAGTGTATCTAGTTTGTGGGTCCATTCCAAGTGACAGTGGCACTGGTATCCAATGAGTGGTGTTCCTGGAGTGGCCATGAAGCTGAGGCCTGAAGCATGTGCACACATAGAGCAACTATGGCTCTGGAGTCCAGGGTGGTAATGGCACTGGTATTCAGGGTGCAGGAACCCTCACTGCCATGTTGATAATAGTATGTAAAACACAAGTTCTTGTGAAGCAGACAGGGAGCCAAGACCAAGAACACAGTACGCACAGAATTATAATGTCTCCAGTGTTGGGTCAAGGTCTATATCTCTGGGTGAGTGAGTGCCCAGAGAATGGACATATTCTGAGAGATTTTAGCTCTAAGGCCCAGAATGTGAACTAGCTTACTATGGTGATGGATCAGGTTTCTGAGACATGAGTGGGTATGGTTCAGCAATAGAGCCTAGGTCTAGAGTGTGGGCACTCATGGAAAAGCTGTGGCTCAGGCGTTAGGGCATGTGCTGTATTGGGAGAGGAGGTGGCTGCAATCTGAATGGGCACAACAGTAGCTACTACTTGAGGGGCTTTGGGGTATGCAGCTGCATCTCCATCTCTGAGGTTTCCCAACAGGAATGGCTACTTGGTTACCTCAGTGGCAGAAGATGCCAGTGTCCTCTTATTACTTTATTCTATTAACTTGAGATTTTTGAACAATATCGAATAACGGTGGTGACAACTGGCTATGGCAGGCACATTAGTTTCCGAGTCATGATTCTTTTTTTTATTTATAATTGAAATTGTATATTCTTTGGGGTAAGTCAGCTATATTCTTCCATAGAGGTTCAAACTCTGTCCAAAAAGCACTAGTCTAGGCCAATCAAAGATCTTTCATTTCACTCATTAGATACTAGGTTATCAATGGGCATATACTTTGTGCCAGAGACTTATAGTATCTTCTGAAAAGCTATTCTCTCATTCTTCGTTAGTAATAGATACTTAATTCAGTCAGGGCACAATGTACAGCCTACCTTATAATTAGACGAAGCAAATAACAAAAAAGCCATATTATTGGGTAGCTCTTTGGTGAAAATTCTTTATTGGAGTTGAGTCACTGTATGCCCACTGGTATGGAATATTATACAAAATAAGTAAACATGCTTTTGTTTTTTATGTTTATTTATTCTGGTTTGAAAGTCAGCTTTGCATACTTACATTCCTCAAACTATTTGGTTTCAAAGACTGCTCTTTTAATTTGTATTACAATTATAAATTCTTTATTGGAGCTCAGTCAGTGGCAAGCTATACACTTTGCCTTTCCCCAACCCCATATTTTCTGGGTTCTAATTTGGAAAAGAGAAATAACTTAAGTATTTAAAACAGAAATAATTTAACTAGTCACTCAAGTGACAGCATGTCTGAGATTTTAAACAGGGTGTGTTCAGAGAAACCAAAGATTACCATCAATTGGAAGTCACCATCACATTTAAGCTAGAGGGACAAGAGAAGAGATAGTTTTACCAAAGCCCAAGGGAGGGTGTGTCAGGTATTAGTTTTCTCTTAATATTTCTTCCCTGATGAATTACCACAAATTAACAGACTTTTATGTAAATCCCTTGGGACAGTAAAGCTACATGGAATATTATACAAAATAAGGAAACATGTTTTTGTTTTTATGTTTTTTATTCCAGTTTGAAAGTCAGCCTTGTGTACTTACAGTCCTCAAACTATTTGGTTTCAAAGACTGCTCTTTGCAGTTGTATTGAAATTGTTCTTCCATTGGCTTTTTCCTCTGGCATCTTATATTTGTATTCACTATACTGTTAAATTTACTGATTCATTCTTAGTTTTTGCCTATTGAGTCAAAAAACTTAGAATTCTATTTTTCTAATTATTAACATTATTTAAACCATGATTTATTCATGGTACCTGGCTTAAATAATAATATAAATTTATTAATTTGATTAATTATCAATGCCTATTAAAATCATATCTAATAGTAGTCATATAATTTTATAGTTTTTTTACTAATGAATATGTATATTGAATGTCTATGAAAAAATACTCAATGATTTTAAATGTCTATTTTGCCATAGATCTCTAATTATCCTCATATGTTACAATAATTTTAACTAGGAATTTAAAGTAATTTAGTATTAATTTTGTCAGCATCGGTTATGATTCTAACATTAAAAAAGTGAAATGCCACATTCTACATATCTATTCAAATTATCATACCATAGTATTTGAAAGTTGTGCTAATTATGTAGTGCTAAAGCCTAGAAGTTCTGTGCAGAGCTAACGTGATGGAACAGTAATTTTCTCATGGCCCCTTGCATTTTCTGATTTCTCAGGGTGTAAATAATAGGATTCAGTAAGGGTGTGATAACAGTGTAAAATACAGCAAGCGTTTTATTGCTTGCCAGCGTACTGAATGGCCAGGCATAGATAAAGATACAAGGTCCAAAGAACAGAGTGACCACAATGATGTGGGCAGACAATGTGGATAGAGCCTTGGAGAGTCCTCCTGATGATTTTTGTCGTACAGTGACCAGAATGACAGTGTAGGAGATGAGCAAGAGGATGAAACAGATAAAAGAGAGCAGCCCGCTGTCAGCAATGACAAATAATTCCAGGGCATATGTTTCAACACAAGCAAGCTTGATCACGAGGGGGAGGTCACAAAATATGCTGTTTATGACATTGTGGCCACAGAAAGGCAAGTTCACTGTTAACACCAATTGGCTCATGGTGTGTATAAAACCAATGATCCATGAAAGTATCACAAATCCATTCAGCAACCTGTGGCTCATGATTGTCCTGTAGTGCAGGGGTTTACATATGGCTACATATCTGTCAAAGGCCATGGCTAGCAAAAGAGTCATCTCAGCCCCTCCAAAGAAGTGCATAAAGAACATTTGGGCCATGCAGCCCCATACAGAGATGGTCTTGTGCTTACTGAGCAAGTCTGTGATCATCTTGGGTGTAGTGGCAGTGGAGAGGCACATGTCCAAAAATGAGAGGTCTCCAAGGAGGAAGTACATGGGAGAATGAAGAGTCGAACTAAATATCACTGTGACTATAATGAGAATGTTTCCTACTACAGTAGCACCATAGATTAAGGAAAATGTCACAAAGAAGAAAACTTGAAGTTCCCGTCGTTCAGAAAATCCTAGTAAAATAAACTCGGTCACTACAGATCCATTTTTAGCATCCATTTACCCAACTCAGAGAGGTTCCAGAAGTTCTTATATATGCAAAAAGAATAAAAAAATAAGCCACAGTTAGGACCAATATTTTCTTATTTCTGCAGTTGGTGATAATAGTCTATACTATGAGAGCATATAATTTTAAATATATCAACACATCAATGTTTATAATTTGAGATTAGTTTATGTATCACATCTCTTTGAAACAATATTCTTATAGACACAGAGCAACTAAAAAGCATTTGAAGGAGTGGAAATTCCATTTTCTAATGTCTGATTCTATCAAATGATACTCTTAGTAACTGATCTTAACTTGGTTACTAATTTGGTCACATATAGATTAAATAGTAATTAATTATGATTTATGTTGACTTTTATTATTATACTATTTTGTACCTACACTTCTTGAGATTATGTAATCCTGATATATATGGAATATACAATTCTTGTAATGTAATGAGGAATTACATTGTCCTGTATCTGTGAAGTAATTTACAAAGGGCATTCTATGATCCTAAAACAAGCAAACAAATAAAAACCAAGCACATACATACAATTTAGGAGCTAATTTATACATGAAAGAAAGTCTTTAAATTCATTAAAAATAATTTTTCTTTTTAATTTTTCTTGTGTATTATACAGACATATTTTGTTTTATTGTGCTTTATTGCTCTTCATGGATACCAACTTCCTTTCTTCCTTCCTTCCTTCCTTCCTTCTTTCTTTCTTTCTTTCTTTCTTTCTTTCTTTCTTTCTCTTTCTTCCTTTCTCTTTCTTTCTTTCTTTCTTTCTTTCTTCCTTCCTTCCTTCCTTCCTTCTTTCTTTCTTTCTTTCTTTCTCTTTCTTCCTTTCTCTTTCTTTTTTTTCTTTTCTTTCTTTTCTTTTCCTTCATTTCCTTCCTTCCTTTCCTTTCTTTCTTTTTCTCTTTCTCTCTTTCCTTTCTTTCTTTCAACAAATTGAAGATTTGTGGTAACCATGTATCCAACAAGTCTATTGGCACCATTTTTCCAACAGCATGTGGTCACTTCATGTCTATGTGTCACATTTTGGTAATTCTTACAACATTTCAAAATTTTTCGTCATCGTTATATTTGTTATGGTGATCTATAATCAGTGATCTTTGATGTTATTATTTCAATTATTTGGGGACACCACAAACTGTGCCCACAGAAGATGGAGAACTTGAGCAATAAATGTTGTGTATGTTCTGACCCATCCACTGACAATTCCCTCAACTCTCTCCTTCTTGAGCCTCCCTATTCTCTGAGACACAACGATATTGAAATTAGGCCAGCTAATAGCCTTACAATAGACTCTAAGTGTTCAAGCGAAAGGAAGTGTTGTGTATCTCTTACTTTAAATCAAAAGCTAGAAATGATGGAGTTTAGTGAAAAAGAAATCTTAAGAGCTGAGATAGGCCAAAAGGTAGGCCACTTAGGCCAAGCAGTTAGCCAAGCTGTAAATGCAAAGGAAAAAAAGTTCTTGAAGGAAATTAAAAGTGCTAGTCCGGTGAACACATGAATGATAAGAAAGTGAAACGTCTTTGCTGCTGATGTGGAGAAAGTTTTAGTGGTCTGGATAGATGATCAAATCAGCCACAACATTCCCTTAAGCCAAAGCCTAACCCAGAGCAAGGCCCTAGCTCTCCTTAACTCTATGAAGGCTGAGACAGGAAAGGAAGCTTCAGAAGAGAAGTTGGTTCATGAGATGTGAGGAAAAAGCCATCTCCATAACATAAAAGTGCAAGGTGAAGCAGCAAGTGGTGATGTAGAAGGTGAAGCAAGTTATTCAGAAGATCTGGGTAAGGTAATTGACGAAGGTGGGTTCACTAAATCAGAGGTCCCCAACCTTTCTGCACCAGGGACCAGTTTCACGGAAGACAATTTTTCCACAGACTGGGGTTGGGGTGGGAGGCTCAGGTGATGATGCGAGTGATGGGGAGAAGCTGCAAATACAGATGAAGCGTCACTCACTCACCCACCACTCACCTCCTGTGAGTGGCCCCAGTTCTTAAATTTCATGAAAGACAAATTTTGCGTGGAGAGACATAATTATCAAATAAAAATAGCAAATAAACCATGTGAGAAAAAATTTGATTTAGTACGGGGTATATGCAAACTGTAAGAGTTTTAGAAGAATGGAGATCAATTCCAAGTGACACTTTTAGATATGACTTCAGGGTTGGTTGTTATTATTTTCAAAACACTTAAATTTTCATGGTCAGCAAACAAAATAAGATGAGGCATAGAAAAATGTGAGAATCTATAAAAAAAAGAATTAAGAGCAGTAAGTAGGAACAGTGGTCTATTTAGAAAAGGGACCGAATTAAGATGTTTAGATGAATAGAAAGTGTCTGTTCTCTTTTCTCCAATGACCTGCAATTTTCTCCTTGTTTTCATTTCTCTTCAGTTTCCTGTCAAAATATCCTATCCTTATTCAAACTTAACTTCCTCAATTGTTTTCCTATCTTTGATATTTTTAAGAAATGGATATTGCTTACAAATTAGAGAAAAGAAAGATAAAAATGATGCCATTCCTGTAGGTCAACCTGCAGGAGCACACTGAGTGGGTGCTCAGCGTAGGCTGTTGTCCCAAAAAAGCGTGCAAGGATGGCCATCACAACACACCATCTTTGCAGGATCATGTTACATGCTTATCATGAAAGGGAGCAAGAATTTTGCTTTTGAGGCTTTTGCAACAGTAATTGTAATAACTAGATATACTTTGCACAAATAAAAAGGATTGACAATTGCTAGATGAAATGAATATACCAGCTATAAATTGGAGATGAATAACTTTGCCATGTGGAATTTTATGCCCTGTGATACAATGAAAACAGAAAAAATTGCATAAGAAATCAATATAATTAAGCATAAACTGATAAAGAAAGCTTTATTTTGGCCTTTTATTTTATTTGAGAGGAAAAGCTGGCATTTATTCATGCTAATGGCTTTCCTAGCATTTGTTTCTCTTACTACTCTCTTCCCTTTCTAAGCAAGCTTTCTAAAAATATCTCTTCAGGTCTACACATAATACAGTACACTTGTTATATTATTAGTGTACAAAGGCGATGTAAATAAAAGCAAATAAATTATATAGTTTTGATAGAAATTCTATTACTGAGGAAAATGTTCTTCCCTTTGAATAATCAATTGCACATTTTACTATAGCTACTTTCACTCAACAATTTATGATAAGTTCTGGAGGAAATTGAAGGTAGAATAATAATATTAGAGCCAGGAGGAAACTCTCTAATCTATTATTCTTCACATCTTATTTAATAAATGAAAAATCAAGACCTACACAATTAAATAAATCTTCCCAGGTCTTAGAGGCAGGACCACTCCAAAAGGTCGTGGTGAGTATTAGGTGAGATTGTGTGGGCACAGGCTCCTGGCCAGCCACAGGATAAGCACTAAGCAGGTATGTGCTGCGTGTGAGTCATTCATGTAAATCCAAGATTACACTCCCAAGAGATTTACATATAAATCTGTATTAGGAAAGAAACAAGTCAAGACTTGTTTATTAAGTAGTTGGATATGAACATTTTTGGTCTTGGCCACCTGTATACAGTACATATTACTTAATGTAAAAATAATTTATTCAAGCAAATATTTGCTTCTTTTTTCATTATAGCCATTTGAAGAAAATAATTTCAATCTTGAGTGATTTTATGTTTTGTAAAAATTATCATACTTATGCTAAAACAGGGATGGACTTCAAAAACATTATGCTTAGTAAAAGAAGCCTGATATACCAAAGACCACATGGATAATTCCATTTATATGAAGTGTCTAGGAAAGGCACATCCATAAAGACAGAAAGTATATTAACGGTCACCTTGGGCTGAAGAGAGCCTGCAAATGAGCATGGGGTTTCTTTGTGTAGTGGTGAAAATGATTTAAAATAAGATTGTGGTGATGGTTGCACAACTATGTAAATATAATAATAATCATTGCAATGTGTACTTAATTAAAATTGGTGAATTTTATAGTGTATGAATTATATCAATAAAACTTAAACCATTGTACTTTGCTTTGTTTTTTTCTGTAAGCTAAAATTCTCTTAAATAAATCAATTTAGTATTTTTAAATGCAGTTTTCTAGTACTGTCCAGCTGCTTGAACTCAGATGTATTTCACTCCAAAACATTCAAGGACATACTACAATCCAACCCAATCTAGTTTTGAAGTTTCTTAAAGTCTTCTATTTTAATTTATATTTTTAGCTGCCTTGTGTATTTGGAAACTTGCTATTATGCTTTTCCTACTATTAAGAATACTCATAATGAGATTCCTGAATTATTCACATTTTCTATGTTGTCTTGAATATCAACATTTTCTAAGCACTTCTCCCTCTTTACTTATCTGAGATCTTATTTGTATTTATGGTCTAATGGTGAGTTTTACACAATGATTTTGTAAACACATGGTGATGGTCACAGCTTCCCTCTCTCTCCAGTTCCCTCTACAATTGCCAATATGGTATGCTTATTTACACATTCAGTCAATACCTGAAAGTTGAGAAAAAAAAACCCCATTCTGCAAAAAATTATGAGTTGTTCACTTTTCCATTATTTTCAATCATAATATGAATTTTCTGAATTATCAGGATTTATCTTTCTTAATTGTATTCATCATACTTAATTACTTATTATTTACTGCCAATTTTACTCTGCAATATCATCTGATGATGTGTTTCCATTTAATTTTCATAGAAATTGTTGATTCCAGCTCCTTTTGAAATACTGTTTTGTATCTCCCAGTTAGAGAGGACAAATCCTCTCTTAACCTTATCTTAAAAGCCAAAGACTTTTCTTTCCCGTCCAATCAAAATTGATTAAAATACCATCCTCAGTGTATTAAATTTCTAACAAATTAGAGCTCTACAATATTTTCACTTACTTGTTTTAAAGGCACAGTATAAGGAACAACATGTTCAAGAGATTGTTCAAAATTTAAAATGTGCTGTTTATTTTCTGTGATGCTCTGCATAAGTTTCTGCGTACTA